TTTCAGCTAAAAGCTTTTTAACTAAAAATGTGTTACAGCTAATCTTACAATAGTTTTTTTCAAACGCTCTGGAAAAATGCTGATCTCGGTGCATTTTGTAACAATTTTCTAAGGGTAATCGAAACCATTTTTACGCAACACATAGTTCAATTTAATATTGTATTCAAAAGTGTGCACTATATTAGTTTAATTTCTTAATCTACATGTTTTACCCACGAATTCATCTATACGGAATATACTGTATTATATAACTAATAGTGGATTTAAGTACTCCACATTTTTCTGACTAATTAAATAATCAAAAACGGAAAACCACAATTACCAATTAAAATATCGTTTAACATTAATTCTAACACTGTCTAACTACCGACTTATCGACCGTCGATTATAGGGTGCCAATGAAACTCATAAAAACTTCTCTCGTGTTAAAATTGACTTTCTCATGTTTGTATTTCGTCTACAAACAAAAACAAACATATAAAGAAAAAAATATAGGCTAACATTGTGATAAAATTTTTTGGATTGGTCATAATATTTTCCGAATATTTGTGGTATGCGTGGCCTCACACAAATTATTACAACCAAATTAAACCAATCAATTTTGAATGATGTATTGAAACTAATTCTACTTATAAGTCCATTAATCGACAACACGTGTTTGAAATTAATCTACGCGATTCTAAAACAATACATTTGAAACAAATAACAAGCAGATTAAACTAAATAGATAATCTCAAACTGATAAATGATTGGAGCTCACAACATAATGCGATAGCTTTGAATACAACTTCTATGATAACGTCTTTATGCCTAATAATAACAACAACAATAATATTTATGACGTAATAACTACCTTGGTACCTGCCTAGTTGAATTCATAGTTGGGTGGGTAATATATGTTTTCAATGATATTTACGTAGCCCGCTAATAAGTTTACATTCAAAATCTGTGTCATACAAATATTGACAATATTTTTAACTTCAATTCCAGTGTTTTAGCAGTTCCTAACAATCGTTGCGGCCACCCGCAGTACGCTACAGTGCTTGGCGTTGTCGTATGAGTGTTTCAGGGACTATCTCTCTTCTTTTAGCGAATTTTCGAATTGGGAATAAGCTAATTACCGTAGGTCTCATGGTAAGACCAAGACCTACTGTCGGGGAAAAAAGTTTAGACACTCGAGTATGGAAATATACAGAAAAGTAACCAAATTACTTAGAAAACCACGGAGGATATCTAAATTTCCGTTGTTTTATTCTACGTATTCCTGTAAAAACCAAAATGTTTAGCTCATTTAGAAATTTTTAATGACAGTCGGAAGGTAAAATATCCCCTTTTCAGAGTATCAAAAACCATGTTATGACTTTGAAAATTCGCCAATATAAACTGAACTTCAGAACTTCATCAAACTTTAATACAATATAGATACATATATAATGAGTTAATATGGTTTCAGAATTTTTATTCTACTCAAAAGGTTTTTGTTGCGAATTTTCTAAATAATTAACTCTTTCTCAAAACCGGCAAACGCCAGGAAAAAATTCCAAATTAAATGTTAATTGATAGAAATAATATGTGTAACAATGTGGTAAAGCCTTATAAATATTTCAAATACAAAAACAATCACCAACAACGAGCTTTTCAATTTTTTCCTAGCTTTTGCCGTTTTTGAGAAAAAGTTAATTTAGAAAATTAACAACAAAAACTTTATGAGTTGAATAATAATTCTGAAACCACCTACCGGTACTGCAGTTATTTTGACAGGACAACTTCTAAAAATTCCAAAATTACTTTCATATAGTTCATATAAGCCCATCATTACAGTAGATCAAGTTAGTAACGTTTAGTAGTTCGAGTGACCTATTTCATGTCGAATCTGTATACGTCTATTGTACAGTTACTGGGCAAAACCGACGATGTTAAGTACTACATGGTTTATATCATTGGGTAAACAGGTCGAGTTAAACAATATCAGAGTATCAATGGTATAAGGCACAGAAAAATATGATCAAACTAAGTTCTTTTATGGAGCTGCAATAAATGACTTTCTTGACAGTTGATTGGATACTCGTATTGATTTTAGCTGCATGCCCATTCATTACCAAAGATGTCACAACGCCAAGGGAAGAATTTGATGAGCAAAGTATCCACCGGAAACTGCGCCATCACAACGGTCGACTTCCGGTAAACCTGAGAGTTGCTTGTGTTGACATGATCAGTTATGACACGAGAGTACGGTACAACGATACATTATAAATAAGCAATTGAAAATTTGAACATGTTTTTATCTAATTAACTTGCCCAAATAAGTGTCAACAAAATACGTTCTACTGTAATATTATTTATCAGATGGTTTGTGGCAGCTTGGGCGGGTTGGTACAAGGATGGTAGATCGAAAGCAATTTCGGACCAGCTGATAAAGAGGGGGGGGGGGGCAGTGATAAAACAGCACGACTGAAACGGCCCCTGCCTTTGACCTGAGCTTTATATGCACTGACTTTAATGCCCTGGAGGTTTCAAGCAATAATTAACTTTGAGCAATTGTTTTTGAACCAGATGATGCGATTTGATTTTATACAATCTAGGCTACTTAATGGGTTAGAAGAATTTACCAGAATGTTCTTGTTCTTGCTAGATAAAATAAAACGTACTGAAAGTTCAACTAAAAAAACGACATATATGAAGTTTCTTTAGAATGGCCTCTCTGTACAGGCATAAGTCTACGTCATTTTAAGTTAAATCGTACAAGTTGATTTTAAATTACTTGATCATTTTATTGGGCTGATTCAGCAGTGATTGCAAACAAAATAAACAAGCATTGTAAGATCTTATAGTCTGATTTACCCTGAGTAAGGTAAATACACTGGTAAGTAATACATTTTTTTTAAGGGTAAAGGTGTGTCGGTGCAAACACGTAGGTACCCCAATTATTGAATTTATGTTTATTGGAATTGACATACCGTACTTCATAAGCAAAATTGTTGCCTTGGAGATAATTATCTTAAATCTTTGACCTCCATGACAAACCGAAGAGGAAAACTATTCACTGGCTATGCAAAGATATAATGCTGAAGCATCAGTAGGCAGCTTACGGAATATTTGCCAATGGTATTGAATTTGCAATTTTTTAAAAAGCTCCACTTTTTAACTAATCATGGTCCTTTTATTTGCAATGGAGGTCGACTTCCGATAAGCTTTTAAAACCCATTCTGTAAATAAGTTAACTAAACTATCATGTATAATCTACATTGTAAGTAATCTTCGTAAATTGTTGGCTACATGAACGATTTCTTTAGGAAATTGTTCTTAGTTCCGATATTTTCTATTGTATGCCTAAATGTTTTAGTCGTAAACAACTGAAAGCCTGATTTGGAAGACTGGATTATTATGTCAGATCGTGGGATCATTAAGTTATACAAAGGAAGTATTAAATTCAACGAGTGCATAATCTGCTTTTACCAAATATCGACCACTATTGAAGATATCCTCAAATAATACCTTTAAATTTTTCATTCTAACCATTCTGTTATGAAAATGTTTTCACAAAAGTCGTTAAGAACTACTACTGTCAGCTGACTTGTGACCTATGTCATATCGTAGGGTCGCGGGGAATTTAATAGTTTCAAGGTCAGATCGATAGACAGAGACGTCTGTAGAATTTTTAGGTCGATCTGAATAACTGAAACATAAACCATTCCGACCTTGAGGTTGACGCGTGCATTCACACGTAGACTCGGTCTCGTACTACGCTTAACACCCTTCGCTAAAAATCGATACCGGCAGGAGAGGGCGGGCTAGGCCTATCGAATGTAGGTTAACCCAAATATAAAATGCGCAGAAACGAGGTGACAATATTTCGAGTGTATCGTAATCCTCCAAAAGCAATTATATAGCAAACATAATGGGTGACTAGCAGGAATCAAAGATATAGGAACCGTTACTGTGGGCTATTGTTTTTATGTGACAACAACAAACAGAAACAACTTGACTGGTGATAGCTATCGATTTATGAATGAAAGATCGATGCGAAATGTGTGATTACGTGATAAATCAACGGTACATACCTAAAGAACACTCCGAAGAAGTAATCCATGGTGACACAAACGCACAACCCTAAATTTGACACAATTATTGACTGAAAACAGCTGAGCTCCCTAGAAACAATCCGCCATGACAGCTGAAACACTAGCGCTACCTGGGGGATCGCGGTGAAACTGACGTGAGCGCCGGGCAAACGCAGCACGCTGTACTGGCGAACTACAGCTGTAAAACGAGTTAAACTCAATTGACCTCTTTGACCTGTGCATTCAATTTATCTCGACGATTCAATAGGTCAAAATGGTCTCCGATCTATTTTCACAACGATAACGTAGATGGTAAAAAAATTGCTGAAGATATGAATTCAATATTTTGTTTATATGGTTGAAACAACATGTTGTGAGTGGAAGTGTTCAATGAGAAAGAGGATTTTGCATTTTTATGTTTATATAGAAAGTCAGACAGTAAACGTATTTTTACATGTCCTGTTTTATTTATACTCAATCAAGTATGGGTCCCGATAAATCAAAACTAATAAAAATATAAATTGTATAAACAAGAAAATGTTAACAAAATGTAACATCCCAAGTGTGCTCAAAAGGTTCAAGACAAAGTAACAGACCTACAAAATATCCATAACCTACAATTGAACCATTTTTATTACACTCACATTACTTTGAGAATCATAGTCTTAGTTCTCCGTGTGTGGTTTATTTGTGATTTTAGAGTACCGCCTGGCTTTTGTATACTAATCTATAAATCTTGTTATGTGTTTTCTTTCTCAGCTGAGAACAAGATCAGATTCCACATCCTAAGAGGTTCAAACATTTAATCTTTCCGAATCGAGAAAAGAAATGTTCGCTCTGATCCCGTAAACATCGTTATTGTAGCCAAGGGCTGTCTAGGACTAAGTTTTGGGGCATTTTAGGTGTGTAAATATTATAAATAAAAAAGTAATGACTCACCCCTGGACAGACGGTCGACACTCTCGAACCTTCCCTCCACCTTGCTACGGAGCGAGTCCAAGTCAAAGGGGGAACTGAACCCATGGTCTACGGAGCGACTTTTGCTTCTGGAATAGAGAAAACAAAAATTATTTTCATAATTTTCATAAATAACATGCTTGGACTTACATTTTTCCAGACGTATCTTGCCTGTAAGTAAACATTTATTAGACAAAGGTTGTGATGAAATAAAATAAAATGGTGCATGCCATATAAATGAATAAATAAATAAATTTGCACGATGTCAATCAGTGTGATCTAAACTATCAAACCCCTAACATAACCTAACAAAACCTAACAAACCCCTAACATAACCTAACAAAACCTAACAAATCCCTAACATAACCTAACATAACCTAACAAACCCCTAACATAACCTAACAAACCCCTAACATAACCTAACAAACCCCTAACATAACCTAACAAAACCTAACAAACCCCTAACATAACCTAACAAAACTTTAATACTTTAATACTTTTCGATGAAATGGCGACCCTCCAAAGTAGGTATTTTAAGCCAAGTATGAATGAAGATGAGTGTAGGATGAGTGGCGCGACCTTGTAGTGTTGTTATTGACTAAGGCCGACATATTCCTTAGACACAGCTGTTAATTAATAGCCCATACAGCTAATGGTAACTGAGGGACTGAGTTTATAGTGGAATCCGAACCACATTTTCGCCTTGGTATATAAACCTAACATAACCTAACAAAACCTAACCTAACATAACCTAACCTAACATAACATAACCTAACCCCTAAACCTAACCTAACCTTATCAAACCTCTTACTAGCATAAGAAAAGTGCCAAGAAAATATTAGTGGCCCTATTCTTGATAAGAGATAAGATCCAAATTAAGGTGAGTCAAGAAGTCGATAAGAAAGACTTATTAGCTAATTCTTTCGTTACCGTAAAATTTACTAACGTTGCAGATCGCAGATGCCATACAAATTTTTTAATAGGGCTAATCCATCGTTATTAGGGAACTGCTATCACTGGAATTTTAGAAAATGTGGCTTTCTTCGTTAAAATAAACACCGCAGCGTTAAGGATTTTTAGGATTCTAATCTAAGCTGATACCACTTAAATTATTTTTGGTAAGCCAATTTAATATAATCATTACTTACACAGTAACTAATTACTAATAAAGTAAATTTTAGATAGTAATTAGTACTAGTACTAGGAAGTTCTGATAAACGACCCTACAAAATTCCTTCTATATTTTATATAGTTTCTGTAATTTAATCCAGCACATTCCAGCCATTATAAGGATTGCCAACTTACGTCTGTGTCACGATTAAACACCATTCAGCTTTACACCGATTTACATTTACAGAAATATTGTTTATGTAAAAAATTTGGTACGAAAATCTGGCAAATATGGCACAAAAATACAATGATTCAAATTGGAAATTTCTACTATCTCATTAATTGGTTGATTTATACCTTATACGTTAAGTTATTTACACGTAAAAATCTTCGGCTATATGTTTTAACCACAATTGAGTTGGTATTCTATGAATACAAATCAATTTTAAACAGTTTTTAAACGCTTGACCAACCTACAAATCTTAATGATTTAATGCAATATTTCTTTATTCATTGACTATGATCGATGAGCTCCTGTTTTTGTAGCCAAGTGGTACAATAAAAGCCCAACTATGAATGAGAGCTTACTAAGAAATGGGACAGATTTTTTTTCGTTCATAAATGTTAATTACGAAAAAGATAGATTTATTGATTCATTTATAACTAAAAAGTATTTAATCTTACTAATATTATAAATGTGAAAGTTTGTGTGTTTGTTTGTTTGAAGTTCAATCACGCATTAACTACTGGACGGATTGGGCTGAAATTTGGCATGATGATAGCTCTTATTCCCGATTAACATATACACATATTCTTATCTCAAATATCCTATCGGGCTCCGCCCCAGTGGCTCTGCAGTTCCCCCATGTTAACCTTAAATGAGTATCCATATTTAAAGGGAATTGAATTAAAGAATTTGATCAGCTGTTTCAACTAAAAAAGTTGGTTCTATGATATGCAAAAACATTAAAAAGTTATAATATTTACCAACAGGGTGCAGCACTATTATTTTTTGCATATATGAAAACAGCTTATTTGAACTAAGCAGCAAAAAAAAAAAAAAAAAACTGTGATACGCAATGTGAACTGTCAAAGTAGGATTGTTTACAGTCATGTTTTTGTTTTTAATTTCATGAATAATTTGTTATATTTTGCGAATTTTTAATTATTTATTTTTCTCTATTGTTTAGGTGAAGTGGTAGAACATTATGGCTGTGGTAGATGTGTAATACTATAGAATACTGTAAATTTAAAAAAGCAAATTTGATCAAACTGTATCCTCCCTTATTGCAAACGCAAAGCTTGAGTATAACTGTAATAAGCATTTTATACTTATATTCCAACCCCGTACGAAGGACGGGTACTCTGCTAGTCATAAATAAAAGGAGTATAGACACTTATTTTAATAATGTCTACTTCTTTTAATCTACGGTACCATACAGTAGGGTATAGTGGTTATGTCTAATGGGTTGGCTGCGATGTCCACACACAATGTAGGAAGGTGATAACAACCCTAGCAACCCTACATCAACAAACACACCGTCAACACATCATAGGGATACAGTGCGACTAATCAGAATCAAACCATTTAAGTGAATCAACCCTACTACGGTTACAGCCCTTGATTCATATACTGCAATCATTTGATTTAACGTTTTACTGTATTACTCTGAGATTTAACTTATGAAATAATATATTGCAGGGATTAGAAACGCATCAAATGACACTGGATTCTTATAGTGTTTTCTTCGGTTTAAAAGACTCAATAGTATGTAAAAAATCGAATAAAACTTGTTTTTAAAGCCTAATTATGGATGGTTCTGGAATTTAATTGAATAGAATAGATTGTTTTCAGTTAACCATTGCATGCAATTGAATGTACGGACACTTTTACTTTGTAATAGAATTAATTTGATTTGAAATTTGAAAAAAAATAACTTATTAAATTCACATAAAATTTTGCAATACTTTTAAGGTTTGTTAAGCATATAATTGTGTGAAATGTTATTAGAGCCATTGGCTTTTCACATTGAAAATACGCAGAGTAGACTTCTAGTCCAATGAAAAAATTTGAAGCCAATAAAATAGATGAAGTTCAGTACCATCTCGCCAGAGGGTACTAGTGTATAAAATATTAATTAAAAGCCGTGCCAACAGCTGATTGATATATTATCACTTGTCACAGAATATTGACATTAGACCATCTCAACAGATTGCACCACGTTTTTTGCTTCAAATTTTTACATTGGTTGGGAAGTCTAATTAATCGTCAATGCTTTCGGATACTGGCGTAAAAATTCCATCAATATTGGTCAGCTGTGGCAGAATTCAGCAAAACAGCTGTAAGTTTATTCCCTTAAAAAAAGAGCTACAGAAAAAAATATATTTTACACCATCTCTTTTATGCTATGATGCTTTTTATGAAAAAAAAATTTATTAGAAAAAAATTTATAAAGTCAAAGATAATTTGATTTGATTTGATTTGGTTTGATTTGAGTTTTAGTAAAAAGGTGTTTTGATTTACAACAAGTTTACTTTCTAGTTGGCATGGTAAAAAGATAAAGTGTAAAATTAGTAACTGTTCCCAGTGATCTCTGTATTTCGCTTACTTATACTACGCTCATTTTTATTTTAAACGTAGGTATAGCTATAGCATAGGAATGGATATTGAAGTTTTTTTTACATAGCCACAGGTTGAACAAGGTATGGTGAGCTCACAAACGGAGCTCTAGTAGTCTACAGGTGAAAACATGAGCTGCAAAGATAAGACGGAAAGTTTCAACTTGAGGAAATGTTTGCTGAAGATAGCCAAGTCGGCGGGTACATTGTCTTGAACAGCAAGGCCTATCGTTGTTATGATATGATTAAACTTTTAAAGAGAGAATAGAGTGGTAGAACATTAAGTTATGTTTTAAAAAGTAACTTTAATAGTGTTCTATAAACTCTTAAAGTATATTCTTAAAGGGAAATTTACGTATAAGTTAAGTTATATCGAGAGGATGATTAAAAATATTGTTACTATTTATCCGCAAGAATTGTTGTTTGGATTAGTTTCACAGTGTTACTTCTGTCTTTAATTAACAATTTTGTAGTATATACTAGCCGTTGTATCCGTTCTTTGCAACGGGGACAAAAAAAAAATAATAGTGCTACACTCTGTTGTTAATCCTTGTAGGATACCTTTTTAATGCTATGAAACATCATTGAACCCAGCTTGTTAGATTATTTGAAACAGCTGTCAATATTCTTAAATTCTTTTAAAATATGAATAACCATAAGGTAAACGTGGGATACTCCAGAGCCACTGGGGCGAAGCTCCAAGGGAGTTCAAGAATGGGAATGGAACAGAAAAATTCTTGGAGGTTTATAGACCAATCACGATTGGATGACCAGTTTGGTCACAAACAAACGTACGACAGATGACAAAATCCAAACGAGATACATTGGGTTTTTGATATCAGAAACTAAAATTTATTTAAAATGTCATTATGCTCGTTTTGGTTGTAAATAAGACTTTGATGAGACATTCTTGGATCAATAACATTTTTTTTTTAAACCAACGAACATAATCTAAAAATTTCAGGCAACTAAAAGTTCACTTATCTGACAGTTTGCTGCCAAGAGATTGTTTGAAAATATTCTATTTTGCCCTTGTGTCGGCTAGACACGGAAACACACTTATCAGTGAAAGAGTGATAAAATACAGCAACTGATAAAACAGGAGTCATCGACTGTAGAGACCTCACGTGGGGCCTTGAGGATGAGTCAAGTTTGAGGTTGTATTCTACTTTCACTTTCATGCCCTTATGGAACACCCTGAACACATTTCAGAGCTATAGACCACTCCTGTGGTCAAATTTTGATGAATGTGAGTTTGTGAGTACTATCTTCAAGAGTTTTCCACTATTTTTTGACATTTGCATTTTAAATAGGAATATTGCCACAAAAGACCCATGAAAAAAACGGAAATGCCAGATTTTCACAACGATCCGAACGATAATAAAATGGTCAAACCTACATTGACGTAATATTATGGTTTAAAAATTACTAGTGGAAACCCGTCGAAATCGACGGTTACTCTTGAGGTTTTACGTGTTTAAGCTAACTGCGATAGATAGAGTGAAGTTATCTTAGTTAAATGAAGGGGGAGTAAGCATAATAATGAGTATGACGATTGTGTAACTAAATAACGTGGTTGATGAATTCGTTGAACACAATATTTCCTGTCCTTTTATCGGCTTTAGGTTGCCTTAAAGGTTTTTTAGGAGTCTTTGTTTCTTGTTGATGAGATTTGTTCATGTTAAAGCCATTAAAGTCTTTTTCTACATTAAGTTACGCAATTTATAGGACTACCATAGGTACTGCTTCGTAAAATAACAAATTAACAATATTGAAGTCCTATTAAATTGCGTAACCGAATGTAGAAAAAAACTGATAACTTGGTTGTTTGTCATCCGATTTTAACAAACAAGGCCTTATTTGATTTGGATTTTAATTCTTTTTTATCTGAAGAACAATTTTCTTAAAACTTACGGTTTTCATGAAATTTGGCATTGAAGATTTTAAATGGCCGCCGTATTGAAACGGCTTGAGATATTGGAACGAAACCTCGCAAGCTCTTTTTACCTACTAAAATACTCATTTATATCAATTTTGAAATTTATATATTGAAAAATGCCCAAGATATGAAATAATTCTTAAAAATCACAAACAGACCAACTAACAGAAATCTAGGCATTTTAGGCCATAGGCCCTACTTAAATGGCATTTTATGCTTGTCTTAGCCCAAGGAACAAGTCCAGAAAATATGTCCAGACAATTTGGAAACACCCTGTATACCTATTATTCAAACGAGTAACGAATTCAGAAATTCAGCTGAAAAAATGATCCAATGTCAAAATCGAAGAGATTGACGTTCTGCACAACTCGTCCTTTCAATCTCTCCAAGAACGTCGAAGTTGGATCTTGGGGATTTATGCGTCGTAAAATGTAGCAAACATTTCAAAAGTGGTGATTAAACATCGTCGCGTTTACCATAAGGTCGTCAAAATAGTCGTCATATAAATAATTTATGGAATATATTGAATTATAGCTTGTGGGTATTCGTATTGCTTACATACAAATCGTAGGTACTTCTATATAAATAAAATTAGAGTTTTGTCTGTACATTGCTCAGAATCATAAACTTTTAGGTTATTTTTACGTTTTATACATTAGAGAAACCAAAACAAGTCTCATCTAAATTTCTGTCTGTCTTCCAGTCTGTTACGACCCAAGAGCCATTTTACGCGGCCTACTCCTGAAAAACGAGAGTACCTATCAAGTTCCAAATAATTTTAATGCATTCACTGGATTGGCGAGATTGTCTTTAGCCATTAAAATATGGCGTCACCACTTTGTAAATAAAATGACGGACGTTTAAAAACCCAATTTTGTGCAATTTTTGTAAAGTTTTCTCCCAATGTTTAGCACATATTCTTCTATGAAATAACGAACAGCTGTTCAAATCCAGATTATTTCTTCTAGCTGTCACTGATATGTTTACATTGAATGTTGTTTACAAATACCGCAACCATTTCCGATCACGTTTTGAAAGCAAATCCAAACCAATTAAGATTAAAAACGTTTTTCCTTACATAACGGATTTAATTAATCGCAAGTGCAATAATTTTTAGGGTAACAGTAAATGAAAATATAGATTCTTTGTGCATACAATTGTTCTTGAGTTTTGATAACCGGGAAATAGACCTTGAATCAGTGTTGTATATTGCTGGGAAACTTACATTTTTTAAATGAGCGTTTTCAGTCAAGACTCGGCACACGACCGACGCGCGTCTACTTGTCCATAGTAAAAATAAAAGTAGGCCTACCGTGTATTTATGTTTTATTCGTTATGTGTATAAGTGTACAGTTCATGTATGTGTTTCAAAAACTCCAAGATGCACCTAATGGGGAAGCTCAATACCTTATTAGGACTGATGATGGCGATTTAATTTCGCCGAAATGCATCTCCTGTAATAGGATACATTAGGATCGACCGGCGGACACAGGTAATTTAGCCTTTTATTGATTGTCATACCGATCCGGAACAACAACAAACGACATAAAATGAAGTTATGTATAATAAATAGTTTGGCCAGCATATCTGAAAATATGCAAACCAACTACTGTTCTTTATATAAGAAGGTTTCAACTGATACTATAAGATCCCCGTGCGTAGAACGGGTACACAGCTATTAGTGAATAAATATTAAATCAGCATCAAAGTGCGTGGTTAGTGAATTTAGCGTAGTTAAACGGTTACCCATCAGTAAGAAAGCAATATAATATGGGAAACCTACTTTTATCTTGCAATAGGTTTTTCAACAATTATAACCTATACATAAAATTTAAAATTCCCTTAGATTGCTAAAGAATCGACGTTCGGTTTCACATGTTGAATTAGGAATTATTAATTAATTATTAACTGACAAGAACATATTTATATAACCCAATACAGGAGTGTTCGATTTGTAAATTCCAAAATATAGTCAATAATATATATGAAATGAGGAACCTACTTATTATATAGAAACATAAAATATAATCAAGCAATCTATAAACAATAAATTTATAAAGCATTTGGTTTTGTTAACATTTGATCAATGTAAATTGCATGTTTAGGTTTGGTGTAACATGTTCAATTAGGTTAGTACAAAAATTAACAATAAAAAAAATCTTAAAATAACCCAAAACCAAAATAAACCCCTAAAACTCACCTCACAAATCGTATTGGTTCCTCAGCCGCCGGTCGTCCTACATCGGTCGAAGATCGTCGAGCCCTTCAAAACCAAAGTCAAAATAAACAAAAGGTAAAAGAAAACGAAAATCATAAATAACAAAACACAAAAACAAAGCAAAAACATGAAACTAAGAAAAGAAAAACTAAAACCCACCACCCTAAAGAAACCGTATAACTTAGTATAATTCTTAGTTTTCGTAAGACAGTGATCGAATTAAAATTACTGTAAGACTATGAGCAAACAAAAAATAATCTAAACCGGTATGGAAATTATTGTTGTTTCAACAACCTATTACAAAAAAATACACGATTTGACGCTCAATATTTAGTTTCAAACAACAATAGTATAGTTTTCATTACTAGGGCCATATTTTTCATCATATTGCACCATTAATTGAAACCGTGTTACTAAACTAAAATAGGCTAGTTTTCATTTAAAGATAACCTCTCAAAACTACTTCTAATTTGTATTCTATTTAATTTGCTAATGGAAACAAGCAGCTGTTTGGTAATTGATCCAATCGTTCGTCTATTGCGATTGTGTTAGTGTACATTATACTATCGATATGTCGAAATGTTGAAAATAAGATGCAATAAGGCAAAAATTAACTACTGTATAGTCGATTATACAATCGACACATACTTTCGATAGATGCAATTTTATCGAAATTTCCAACTGAGTTGGCAACAGCTGATTTAGGAGAAACGGCGACGTGTTGCAGCCTGTAATTACAATAAAATAACAACTCACTGCATTATTGTACAATTTTGCTTTCTGCAGTCGGTCGTAACAACAATAGTCATAAAATACAAGAGGGACAGATGGAATCTTCTATACAATGTCGTATATATGCATGGAGGAAAGACCGTAAACGTTGATGTAAGATGTTTGGAACGGTTTACGATACTTTATACGGACTATTTACGTGATGGCCCGTTTTACCTTCAGATTGTTTGGGTTTACATGTTCAGCAAGGTTAAATGTGATTTTATCGAGTTAATTTTATTAGATGAGTAACAGAAGTTGTGTATGTTAGAAGCAATAAGAGTCACGCATATTTGCACCACAACGAAATGAGCAATAGTTATTTGTGCAACTAGTGAGCAATTGCACTTTGCACTCGAGTTGCACATTATATTTTTCCTACAGTTACCATAAAACAAATAAATTGGTAAAGAAACGTGACATATTTTTACACAGAAGTGAACTTTTAATGTGAAATTTAATGTGAAGTGACAAATACAACAGTACATCAGCTGACCAGCTGAATTACAGCCAGTGCTGCCAACGTATTTCGCGCGCATACGACCTTGACTGCATGTTACGCGCTCACTATTTCGTGCCTTTATGTTGCAAATCTGGAGTGAGACAAAGTAATTAGAGTGAGACAATGTTAACATTGTCTCACTGTTGAGCGAATTGGCCACTTTGCTTTCTCAAATCAGTAAGAGAACATGTACATTGTTAGGTAACTGTAGGAAAAAATAAAATCAATTACAGCCGAAAAAAAATAAAGCCCATTGAAAAATAGGAGTTTAAAGGTTTATACTTATACATCCAACTGTTCTTGCGAAAAGTAGTTTAAACAGTTAAAGTCTAATGGAATAAAATTGAACCCCTTATTCGGTTTATGGATCATTACCAAAAAATAGATCGCTACCGAAACATAGTTTTACACATTTTTGGCGTATAAACATAAGTTTATTTTTTATCTCCCACCTTCACATCCTAGGACGTTAGGTTCTAGCCCAAAACTGTTTTACACATTACTTCAGGCAAGTCCTAGATGGTTGTGGCATTATCACATACAAAATACATTGGTGATTGGCAAGATTTGAACCCGGGACTTTTGGTGTAAGTGAGTCGACTACCGTTGTTACATTCTCGTATTGTATGCGTATAATAACACCATCGTGTACAACCCTAATCAAGAATTTATCTACGTAATTTAAAAAGCAATTGAATTAATTCCCGTCGTAAACTAATTTATTACTTATTGCTAAATATTCTCGGTAGCCTGTTAACCATTTTGTTATCTCTAAAACATGTTTTCTATTGCAGTAAACGAATCTCTCTTATTGGCGACTGATAGTAAAACTAGCATGTTACTGTTGAATTAGATTCCAAAATACAAGCATTTATGAATAAATATATTGCAGCATTTCGAGTCAAAATAGTATTTAAAATTGGTTAAAAAAAACACAATAAATAGTAGACACCAATACGCGGGCTGTATTATCCAGCCATAACCGTATACTGTAAATTAACGTTCATCATGTGATCCATAAAGATGACAAATGTTTGAGGAGGTATTTTTTTACATTAGAACAGAAACGTTGTGTATCATAAAAATAAACAAATTACGTCACTTGCCCAAATCATACTAATAACCTTAACAGCTGATTTGCACGATTTGGCAGTTCCATTTAACGCAAAGTAATTTGTAACATGTTTAATTTCAGACCAGTGTTTATGTTTCAGTTTGTTTTTGTTTATGGTCCATATAGTGTCTGTTCTAATACCCGAGATTATCTAGTACGTGACAGCAGAGTGTACTTCTAGTCTAGGATTACATAAGATTACGCACGTACATAGGCAATGGGAGAACGCAGCATGGCTTGTTGTTTACTGTATGTAGCCCTACAATCCCAGTCTCTTCTATTGGAAAAATATTACCAAGAGTATTATAATACTTCGATTCATCAATTACTTTGAATATTTCAACTGGACTTGTAATCGTAGAATAAAATCTTAGACTAACCATTATATGATTAATTCTTTATGTATTTTAATGATTAATTGTGTTTAATATTATACGATGGTTTTATGTTTGTGACGTTTAGTGCGTCAAAGTAGACTACATGTTTTTAGCGAATGTCCCATATGATATCACCGTAAGTGGCACGGTAAGACCTAGGCCTGGGGCCGATTTACTTTCTAATTTTGATATCCCCATAGGCCAAAAAACCATTCGTAATAAACCAAATTTTTATATATGTTTTATATATCTGTTATATATATATACGTCCGTGAACTTGAGTAATCTTTGTCCAATTTTGGAAAAAAATTGTTTTAAAGGTGTAAGGCGGGGTAAACTTGAATGAGTTCACTAACCAGCATAATCGGACCATGTGAACGGGGTTTTACGGGGGGTTTTATGGGAGTAAACATGGGTTTTATCATTTTTGACACTCAAAACACGAAATTTCCCAATCTCTCTCTATACCTTTTCAAAGAGCTTAAAAAACAAATAATTTAGTATATCAAAGTGTTTTTTGTACAGTTATTGGTGCGGAGGAAAATTCTTAAAAATTTAAATTTTCAAATTCCCGTGTTATTCTTATGGAGAATATTGAAAATATTGTAGTTTGCTTGTTAATGGATATAGTTTGACCAAACTTGGCAAATTTATTTATTTCATACTAAGCTATTAATGTTTTACTAAAACACACTTTATTAGTTTCCTTGTAGCAGCAAAACTAGGTACTCGTTAAACCTAATGTTATTGAAAGAAAATTTAATTTAAAATCAATTCAGACAAATGGAAATTCGCTCAGTCGGCAGTTTTGCTGCGGCGGGGACATTTCCTTTCAGGGTAGATTTTATGAGTTGTGCTAACGGTGAAAGTACCAGAGGAAAAGCAATAGTCTAGAAATGTATTAATTTTACTTGGTTGAAATAGTTTTAAAATGATTTGATATCCAAAAACAAATATACAAAAATTGTACTAAGAAAATACCGTGTGGAACTATAACTAAATTGTCTTCTACTGATTTCTAAGGATGATAAACATTCAGAATACACCCAACCTCTGATTTTATTGATGGAAAATAAACTAGGTGTTTTCAAAATTTGATCTGACAGTTAAAAGCTTAATTGAATTCAAACATGCGAACGACGGGTATTCACCGTGGATGTACGAAATATCTGACCCAGATGGAAAAGTAGTTTCCATCAAAGTCAGGTCCCCTGAAAGGTACGCCATTGTTACCGCAAATGCGACAATATTTGCCGACAAACAGTTTTAGCGTTAGTGGTTGGACTCTTTACATCCACCTCCCTGACTTTTACTGACTACATTATCCCCCCCACGCTCTATCTAGTTTGACCCCAAACTTGAGGAAATATCGTGAACTAGGTTTTCTGTGTAGTGAATAGACGAATTTGAACCTTTTGGGTTAGTAAAATTTCTGTTGTGTCAATGAAGAAAAGTTTAAAAATAAAGTAACCTTTTGGAGAAAATTATTATTGAGTCAAAAGTAGACTAAGTATTTCTGGCGTTTATTGAAATAGATCCTGTCAAAATGAAACGTTTCCTAAGGATAATACATTTTTGTTTAAAATTAAAGGTATTATTTTTCAATTTGCTTTTTCATAGTGACATGAAATAAGAGGAAATACGATTTTGGCGATTATTTAATTAACTTTACCAAAAACAATTACTTTTTAACTTATAACAATACTGATAATTTAAAACACTCGTGTTTTTATAATTTGGTTTGAATAAAGTTATTGTGAAAAAACCCAAAGATTTAATTAAAATAATCGTTTTGCAGTTTTGAATCCCATAAAAAGGCAAAATCGAGGCCTAAAGTAGATTTTTTAAACTTGTACTTAAAATAAAAATCGTACTTAGTTATTTGGAACACAATAGTTTAATACAGTAAAAATTGAGTTTTTTGACGCATTTTTTGTGACATACACAACCGGTATAATAAAATTAGATAGAGTTGAGACGTAGAATTCTTATAAAAATAACTGATTCGTCAAACTTAATTTAGTAGGTTTAACCGACGTTGGCATTTTTACAGGTTTTTCTATTGGAACAGGTCATACCCTGGCAATTGTTTTATATAACCACGATAATTTTTTACATATCAACAATAACTGATATAATGATTAATTGCACCTTCATAATCGAATCTGCGTGATATAGTCACCTTCAAGACGAAGGCTAGCCGAACACCATAACCTCTTGGCTATTAAAAAAATTATGAGTAATTTGATTGACATCAGTCTTTCACAAAAGGCTAATAATA